ATGGGCAGTGAAGTTGAGCATGTTACTGTGAAACTGTGGCTACCATTTTTGTATAACATAGTGAGATAATACCACATTTCCGATTGAAAATAATCATATCTAAGTTAAGCAATATTTTAAATAAAAATTCTGGGATTACGTTTTATGCAAACCGCTTTCTGACAAAAGGATAACAATAACAATTTTGGAATCTTTATACTACCTAACTAATTTGGAAGGGAGAAAGTGTCACTGTATCTCTTACAATTTCTTAAACTGTGGGGTCAATAGCAACTTAAACAATCAGGGTTTCTTAAACTGTGGGTCGCGACCCCCATGAGGATGGCGTGACCTGCTGGAGGGGGCCGCCAAAAATTGTAGCAGTATTGATATTTCTTTAACTTATTATAATAATTCTACAATCACCAAATATTTTTACACTATCTGAAAATAGATAAAGATAAGACAATACAAACAAAGAAAAAAACGAAAACGTTTCGACGCATTTCTTTTTATAAAATAAACGTTCATTTTCCTTGCTTTGCACGTGATGCTGTCATTTCGCCTATTACTTATTTAAAATTTTCGCATTGTTCTATGTCTTAAAATTAGAAATTTAAGTTAATGACCTAAAACTGCAATAGTATATTACAGTACAAGTGAAAAAATTCACAGTTTCAGACACACGTGTGTCGGATTTGTGCAATGCTTATGGTATCCCACAAAATTTTTGTAAATATTATGGGGCTCTGGGGGGGGTCGCGAAAAAATCTCAGTTATAAAAAGGAGTCGTGACTGAAAAAAGCTTAAAAAACCCTGCCCTAGACCATGAGTCGTAAAATGTTTATTTAATTTTTTGTATTAAATCTTTTTCTTACTCAGCTTCTCAGACTTGGTTTTTCCGGATTTTTAACTTTTAATATAGAATTTTTAAATAATAATGTTTTAATTTTTAATTGTTCATAAAGATTTTAAAATTTAACTCTGAAATTTCTTTCTAATTCTGCTGCTTGCTTCAGTAGACAAACTGCTAGTGCTCGTCATTTTTTGGTTAGATCGGACAGCCTCGATTATACGGTAATTGGGCTAGATTACTCTATCCAGGAGGATCAAGACGTTTTTTCAAAGAAACTATTATTGTTTTATTGGTATTCTATACAAGTGAGTTAAGATACAACAGCAGGTTTATGCCTTCTAAGACTGTGTTAACGCTAATGAAAATTTTTAGAAGTTGTGATATTGCTGTAGAAAAGACAGGAAAAGCTTAATATAGAGCTAAAGATATAATCTGAAGTTTTGTGGTATAACTCAAGGAACAACAAGCGTACTTTCATGTTGATCGCACAGTTTTTTTTCTCTATTTTGTCTTTTCCTTAGTTTTGGCTTAGCCTATTTTGCTTTCTTTAGTTTCTAGTTTTAATTTACCTTTTCTATTTTCATTTGTGTACTTGTACCCTATGAAGATACTTTTTTATGATGCTGTAAAAGTGGTAGTCGGATCTTGGTTTCTATTCGATTGTAGTGCGTTGCTCTGTTTTTGTTAAGTTATATCAAGATGCAATTTCTTATACGACAACGTTTTCATAAGGAATTGTGAGTAATAAGAATGACCTTTCATGCATATCACATGCTTTAACATAAAACTGATAAAATCTTTGTACTCTATTATGCAAACAGTTATTTTTCTATTGAAGAAATGAGGCCCGGAGATCTTTCTATTTCAGGTTCTTTTTAACTTTTGGGTTATTCTACATATGCATAATATACACATGCATTTAAAAAGAACGACGAATAGAAATATGTATGATAAACAACCGTAAAATATACTAACAAATTTGGAAAGTAAAAGCAATAAGAAATTCCAAATTGCATTAAAAACATGCCCTTATTATATAATTTGAGGATTAGAAAAATAAAATCGTTGACTTTCTCTCATGAAGAGCAACAGCATGGTACAAAAGAGATATATTTTCAGTATTATTATAAGGAATGAATAAAACAACTTGGACTTCTCGAATATGCGCCGAGTGTTCTAACCGTTACACCTCGAAAGCATGCAGAAAGGAGGGTGGAATACCTTATACCCCTTTTAAAGGGTGATTAGGGATTAGGGGGGACTAAATCGCCAAATCCTGGTGGTGAAGAATCATCATCCACCACCCTTTAGCTATGGAGCCACTAAAGAAGCTTTAGGTATTTTATGTCGGACAGAGGAAAAATTAGCAATGCCTCGCCGGGACTCGAGTCTGGTCTCCTTGAATACTCGCCGAGTGTGCTACTGTTACACCACGAAGGCATGCAGAAAAGAGGGAGAAAATACCTTATAAAAGTAACAAGAATATAAAAAGAAATAATTAAACAAACAGTGCGCAGTTATAATCCAATTTAAACAGTTACCATTGGTAAAGAGAAAAATAAATCACCTAAACAACTTGTATCTATGAAAAATGGAAATAAATAAATAAATGTACGAACAGTTAGATGCTGGAACATAATTACAGTCAAAAGTTACAGTAAATAAAATCAAGGATAGAGATTAACTGATTTATGCTATCTTCATCAAGAGAGCAGGAATAGAAAGTATACAGTTAAAGCGTTATCCTCTTTGTGATCAATGTAATGAATAACTGAAATCAACTAGCAGTTAAATATAATTTAAATTTTGTAAATGATAAAAAACAAAATAATTATTTGCTTTGTTTTGTTTGCTTGTCTCCTACGCGGAATTTTATCACAAATTATGGGCATTATGGGCTGGCTTGTTAGTTTATTTTTCTTTCAATAGTGGTATTAGTTCAAATTGAATCGCAACCGTATCTTGGTTATCGATTTATTTATTTTTACTATATTATTTTTATTCCTTAGTTTATTTTTCTCTATAAAAATTACGATGTATATTTTTTTTCTTATTATGATTTGCTGTCCATGGTAAAGAGTCAAATATTTAATTCATATATATGTGCGAGTACAGGGTGATTCAAAAGCTGCTTATCTTTAATAAAAAATTCCCATTGAGTTTTCGACATAAATTAATGGAATTTCTTTTATAAATTTATTTCTTATGTGAAAATAAAAATTAAAAAAAAATTAAAAAAAACTCTGAAAGCTTGCAGATATTATATTACGCCCAAAAGGGCATTTTTTAACGTTTTGTATGTTATCTTTATTTATTAAATATCTGCGTTTCGCACTTAAACCATAAAATTCAGTTCAACAGCAATATTAGAAAATATTTTTAAATTGAGCATATCTTTAGAATTTCCGGTACACAGTCTCACGAGTTGAAGATAAAAATGTTTTTTTTTTTTTTTTTTTTTTTTTTTTTTTTTTTTTTTTTCCTTACAGTGTTGCTATTTCTCGCTTTGAAATCGCTGAGTTTCTTAATAAAAAAACTCATAAATGCTTTACAAAATATGAAATAAATAATAAAACAAATTCCAAATGCCCATATTCGGGTGGAGACGTACGTTATTCAAAATTTGATATCTCTAGGTACCTTTTTTTATCACAGTGCGAGAAACATATACATTTATGCAATTTCTTCATTATTTAATTTCTTTAAATATAACACACCGCGATAGTGTTTGGTGGCAACAATTTGAGAAGTGAAACAAACGGACATATAAAATTTTCAACGCAAAATTGCTAAACGAAATTAATAGCGCTCCTGGGTTAACGCCCTTTGGGAAAATTATATTCTTTAATAAATTTTCGTTTTATTTAATAATAACTTATAATGTCTAGTTCACTTTGATCAAGAAAATCTGTTGCATTTGTTAATGTATTAAGAAAGATTTTTTGATATAATGTATTGATATCTACAGAGATTATACTAATAATTTTAGCGTGGGATGTATTATAAAATTCACAGCTGTTATCTCTTTAGCATTCATATATCCTTTCATTTTATTTGTATTTCGAGTTACACAAAAATGTCCTTAACTTTAATGTGTTAATTCTGTACAGAACGAATGGAGACATATTAAAAGTGAATGATCTTCTTCGATTTCAAAAATATTTGATTGTATCACCAAACTGAAGTTTCTAATTTTATCATAAGTATTTTAGAAGTATATTGATAGACATAAAATCGAAAATAATGAATATAGTATATGGCAGCGAAACAGTTTCTGGAACAAATAAAAGCATGGAAATATTATTTCTAAAGTGAAATAATTTCAGTCAGTTGGGAATGCTTTCTTTTCTCTGTATACGATTTTATTCCCGAGTCCTTAGTTTACAGAATATTTTAGAGATTTGTGTAAAATATTTGTTCCCTCATTATATTCTAAAATAAAAAAAATCTGAAGTGTTATGTGAAGTTTAATAATGACGACATTTAACGCAATTTTGGAAATTTTAAATGTCATCCGGTATCATCATTTAAATGGGTAGAAAAATGAACATCCAAAAAAGAGCAGACAAGCAAACAAATTTACTAAACACTTATCTTTAAATTAGTTATTCATTTGAATTCTAAAAGCGATAAGAGATCTTGAAAACTGGTTGGACCTTTATATTACCAAGCAAATCAATGACTAGAGATTATGAAAAACTGTGTAAGTCTATTGTTACAGATTAAGCAAAAAGTATCACAAAAGATAAACAAAGAGAACAAAATTTCGTCCATGGAATTAAAACGCAGTTTTTCGGGATTAAAAAGCTTATTGAAACAAAGTAAAAAGAAAGACTTCTCACTTGATTTGAAGCAAAAATCCACTTAATGTTATGATTAATGTACTCTCTTTCAGTCCTAATTGAAGGGGATTTGTTCGGTCTAACCAAGTAGGGAGAAATCGATGTCTACATAGTATCAGTTTTTAGTTACTTTGTTATCGAGCTTTAATATTTAGAGCTTTTTAATCGTTTACATGTATGTTCCCCCCTTTGTGTTCAAAATGTGTTAGCCAACAGGCGAGCGCTACCTATGCAACGTAACAACCGCAGAGACTGAATGACTGCATTAGCAAATGGATTACACCGAGACAAAAACCAAATTTAATTTCGTTAGTAATATATAGTCAAATTAGAGAATCACTTACTTCTCTGTCGGGGTTAAGGGCATCTTCTTCTGAGTAACCTAGACTTCGCATGTGCTTGAGGTAGGTGGTGGTGATCGGGAGACTGTAGTCAATGTGTAAAGAGTCAGTCTCGTCCCAGGCGGTTGTGTCGAGCGAGCTGATGCTCTCGTCGAGCTGCTGGCCGTTGTCATGGTTACCCGTCGGTGTCTTCTGGTCCGCCCCGAGATGCATCCGTTTCTGGCAGTCGGTGCATGACATCAAGAAGTGGGTCACAGCCTCCCGAGGCAAGAAGGAGTACATCTCGGCTATCTGGGAGAAAAATTTAACAATGTTTCAAAAATCGGACATAAGACTTCCTGTTGCACTTTTCTTTAATAAATTAACGCGCCTCCTAAGATGAATAAATAATGCAGCAAGTGTCATTTTCAAGCTTAGTGAAGGAAAATTGATGTGATAAGATAAATGTAATTCAGGAATTAATATCAAATGCATGTTTGAAATGGGGGAAAAAAGAGTACTCTATGCTTTCAGCACACCAAGGCATGCATGAAGAAACACAAAACGGTATTGTTTTTTAAATTTAAGAACAGTTGTTTAAAAAAATAAAGAATTATAACATTATTAAAAAGCAGTAAAACGCAGCATTAAAAATTATTCTTTAGTGGTAAAACTAAATTAACAAAACTAAATTACTTATGTAATCCAAGGGCACTGAAGCATGAGTTTGCTACATTCAAAAAAAAAAAAAAAAAAAAAAAAAAAAAAAAAAAAAAAGATAAATGTAAAAGAAATGCTTTAATATTTTCACATTACCAAAATTATGATTGATTTCATAAATATATTATTTAGTACTTTTAATAATTTGAATGCAATATCAGATGCCCATTGTAGCGTAAGGTAGCTCCAGTATCACTGAAGATACCAACTGAAAAGTCCTCCAATAACAGAAAATATTCCTCACTTTGCATGCCAAAGATAGATAAATTGAGAAATTCTGGAGGCAAAATTGCTCTAAAAACATGAGAAACGCTGATTTTTTTAATCCTAAAAGAAGTAAAATAACACAGATAACTCTGAAATTCTGAAGCAAAACCACTCCAGAATACAAATTGAAATTCTAAAGTACGATGATGAAAGTTATATTAAAATTATAATGAAAATAAAGAGGTCTTTTAACAAAGAATAAATTCTTAACTGTCCAACTCCTAAATGTCCCTTCTCTTTTTTATAGATTTATTATTTTCCTTGCGTAATTAAGGTACAATGTTATTTTGTAGGTTATGTAAACCACCTTTTATGTGACATTAAGTGTTGTAGATGGACACGTAACAATGCCATTATCGAAACTCTTGAAGTTCCGTCGTATATTCCAGCCGCTAATACACTAGCTCTCTCGCCCACGCTAAGAAGCCTTTACTGCATATTTTTATTTTCAGAGACACCTGTGTTGCCTAAAAAAGAGAGACTAGGAATAAATGAAAAGGAATCGGCGAAAAATGAGAACTGCAGTAAAATGAGTTTTTATTCATGGAATATTGGTAAACTTTTTACATCTAGATTATTTTTCTCTTTTGTTGTTAGATACTTTTCAACGTTTGTTTTTACTTCAGAATTCGCCAATACAGTCATTTAAATAATTCTAGTCAAAAGCAGTGCCGAAATATATTATCTAATTATGCAAAGAAACCAGGAATTGAACCAGGCCTGAAAGTGTCTTTTACTGGAGGATTTAAATGCATAATACCAATTAATAATAATACCAACAAATAATTTTAAATGAATAGTACCAATCATAGTATTTCATGTGAAGGAAATTATAAAAAAATACTAATCATATTAATTTCATGGTCACCAGCGGCCGAGCGGTAAAGACGCTGAACACTGGTAGTTCGGTCCGAGGTTCGAATCCCGCGAACGGGCTGGCTGCATGGGCGTTTTCGTGGTTTTTCCCATGTATAACGTGTATACGAGCCAGTTTCCCTTAGAAAGTCCTCCACGAAGGCATCCCTCCCTTTAGGCAGATAGCTCTCGTGTGCTTTGCCATAATTGAATAACCCCTAACCCTAACCCATATTAATTACATATATAAGGCCTTACCGAAAAAGCATAGAAAAGTGTTTTTAATTAAATGATGTTATTTTAAATAGTTGCAAAATACTAAAAGCCTTTCGCACTTTATGGGAACAATTTTGACAATTAATTTTTACGCACAAAGGGCGTATTTCTTACGGCGATTTGCTTCTATCGTATAGTCCGTTCATTGTTTTTGGATGCTATTTTCCTAAGGCTCGTTTTAACAAACCGAAAGGGTAAATGATCATAGAAGTGCCAGGTGATTCTACAAATGTTTATAATTAAACGGCATATAATTCATTCTTGTTTCCGCTTTTTTTTTTCATTTCTAAATAAATGGCAATTGACTTCACCATGTGACTAGAGGCTTTGTCCTTACGAAGCTGAACTTTATTTATGTCATTTCTATATAAAGCTGGAATCGCTTCTTCAAAATTTAGTTCTAAAATATTCATTCTGATGATAGTACAGTGAATTAATTAGCCTTACTTGAGACTTATTTTGAGTTTTAATTTACCGTTGAAACGGAATTCTGCAACTATCACGAATCCCGTTGGGAACTTTTCTGTACACTGCGTAAAAAAAAAAAAGAGTTAAATATCTCCCGTTCTATTGGGCCGATTGACAAAATTCAAATTGCGTTTTTCATGTCTCGAAAGCGCGACTTAAGATATATATTAGATTTATATATAGCATTGTTCTAACATGGTATTCTGACACAAAATCGTACTTTTTCTGAAATAACATACCAATTTTTTCCATATTTCGATTCTAAGACTCAAATTACGCCTAGATATTAAATTTTGTAAAATATGGTGCGAAATTGACAGAGAAGTTCAAAAACTTATCTTGGCGCAATTTTTCAGTTTGCGCCAAGAATAATTCACTTGGCGAACTTTTTAATAAATAGCAAGCAATTTTCCTTTTCCTTCCATTGTGCCGGAGGGGTAAAAAACGTACCTCATCGTTCTAACTTTTTTTACATTGTGCATGAGCGGAAAAAAGTAACATCGTTCCTATTTTCAAATAATTTTAGCAAAGTGTCTAAAGCACGTTTGATGTTTTATCGCTTTCAACAAATGTGCCAAATTTCAAAACGCGCCAATATATAAATTAACGTAATATCTTCGGAAATTTTGAATGAAAAACTGTAATTTTTTGCAGGTATGCTTAGAAATACGTCTACTTTGAGATGATGGTTAAAAATATCATAGATTATAATTAAAAACATTTTTTGAAAAATTTATAAAAATTATTTAAAAATACAAATTTTAAAATTAAATCATAAAAAATGGCTGAATATTATTTGGAATGAATCTGAATTTCGAAATTTTAAAGGAAGAATGAAAAAACGTTTAATAAAAAACAGAGATTAATAAATATATACAAAACTCAATTAACACTGAGGAGCTAAAATTTTGGGAGCTAATTTTTTAAAAACTACTCGTGCGATTTTTACAAAACTTGGTAGTATGGCGTAATTTGAGTTGTATAATTTAAATATGGAAGAAAGAATAGTATGTTATTTCAGAAAAAATCCGATTTTGTGTCAAAATATCTACATTAGAGAAATATTATATATAAATCTAATACATATCCTAAGTCGTGCTTTCGAGACATGAAAAACGCCAGTTGAATTTCGTCAATCAGCCCAGTAGAACGAGATATATAGAACTGTCCCCCCTTTTTTATTTTGCGCAGTTTGCGCAGTTTTTTGCGAAGTTGGCTTCATCGACTGCGCAGTTAACGAAGCCATTTTATACCATCATTTTTGCCAGCTGAGCAACAGAAAATTTATCTTTTTCGTTACAATTAGTTAAGTACAAACATTCCTGATTGAATGTAAACACAAATTTCCATTTATCAGGAGCTAAATGGTTTTCATATAATTGTCCACAATTTCTTTTTCTTTCCGCAATACGCTTTGGCAAAAGACTGATGAACTTAAGGTTTAAATATCTTTTTTAACTTTTACATTATAGTTTTAGAAAACATTACCACTTCCTTTCCAATGGATCTTTTTGAGTGGGTGGGTTTTCTTTTAGAATCGGAAACTTCGCGTTTTTGATATTTGCCTGCGCTCAAACAAGTCTTAATATGTGTCTAGATTTGTGGCCACCTTTTCATTTTACTTCCAACTAGACACTTTTCCTCTTTCAAATTTAATATATTAAAAATATCTTTTCTTTGAAATGCAATAACCTCGATTTTTTAACCCTTGACAATCTGTTGATATGAAATTTTTTTCTTGGAAAATGCATTCACGTAACCTTCGAGCCATCTATCAATTTTAGGGGCCATTCTCAAAATAAATCTCGTATTCTGAATTACAATAAAAAAACAGTAGCAGACGATTCTATTAAAATGTCAGTTCTTTATCTCAAAATTCTGAAAAGAAAATGTAGACAGAAAATCGTTTCACGAAGAGCGAACGGGCTTTTGTAAGCTTCAGAAGAAGAAATATTAATCTTATGTCGCCCTTTGAAATTCCATTATAAAAGTGTACCATTAGATATATTTTACTGTTTTGATTCTATAATGAAACTGAGTCACAAAAAATGATTTGAGAATAACTATAATAAATAAAAAATTAGCTGCTTGCGTTATTTATTTTAAAAAATTACATATATTATTTAAATTTATATTTATATTTAAAATTTATATTTTGGAATCCTTCTCTGTAAAAGCTATTAACAGTTGCATCATCACATTGTATTTCTCCCATAGCAAAGCACAAGGACCAACAGGCAATATGAAAATATGAAAATGAAATCTCATGTAATAGAGGAAGCTTGAAAGATGATAGGAAAAAGACATAAGTGTTACTGTTTTTATGTGCTTTTATATATACTATATATGGGTAAGTAATATCTATAACATTTTAAAATCAAATAATTTTTCTCAGAAATAAAGCTATCGGACTTTCCAACAATAATGTGAGCAATGGAACAGGTGCAAAGTTCAGCATTTTGGAATTTCTCGCAACCCCTAGATTTGGGAGCCTCCTTTCGTCCGCAATATTTGCTTGCTGCTGTAAATTTGAAAACTTAAGGTATCTGTGAAGTTTGGGACATTTAACATCAGCAGAGATAGTTTACTTCATCATATAATTGCAAATATCATGTGCAGACATAAGAGACCATGTTCCTCATCATAAAGTTGCCCATACACGTATGCGATTCCACAGCATAATACTAATGTGATTGGAGAATACATACTAAGAGCAACAATAATGC